AAAAAAAAAAAAATGTTTTCAGACCATTGAAGGGTCTCAACTTCCAGGAAAACTCAAGCTGCTCCTTTATGAACCTGATCTGCTTTCTTTTCCCCCGCAGTCACTGCTGGGACTTGAGAGCAGGGAAAGTCAGGCATAAAAAGATTTCACTTCCATAGCAAAGACGCTAAGAATGAATACCAGGGAATATGCTAATTTTTTTGCCCGATCTAGTCACAGCTACCTTCAAGTCCCACTGTGCAAGTTCACATTTAATAAGGTGTGATTAACAAATGCTCAAGGAAGCCAAAAATTGTACGTTATGAAATGAAGGGGAGATCTGGCAGGAAGGAAAATAAAGGAGAAACCACAGATAGAATAACCGAAGTGACAGGGAAATTAGTGGATGCCTGGAAATTGGAACTCAAACTATGTTTCTTTGTATGAGAGTCGCCTAAGCTTGCACACATACAGAGTTTATTTTTTTTTCTTTATTTACCTTTTCAGTAAAATTGAAAATTCAAGCTTGATACATTGAATTATAGCAGTATTGCTTTTATCATCTGTTTCCTAAACATGCATTTCTGCCAATTTAACCTGTTGGTTAAAAGTCAATCTTGAAGAAAACTCTGGGCTTTGACCTGTACACACGCTTTGCCTTTGAACGTCCACCCTTGACCTGGGAGTGCACCAAATCCAGAGCTGGGAGGTGGCTACCTGCAATTCAGAGCACGTTTTGCCACGATGGGAGAATCCCACAGTCTTAGCTTGGGAGATTTTAGCACGATCAAGTCACTCAAATTAGCTTGAAGTCCCAAAGCCCTCGCAACACAAGCGCTCCTCAAACCCCAGCGCTGCCAGAAGAAAACCCTCGTGGGTGAGGTGGGAGCTTTCCCAATGCTACCAGCCACCCAGCTGGATGCACCAGATGCGCCTGCCTGAATCCCTGCCTCATCCCAACTGTCCTGCTGAGCCCACTCCGAGCAACACGCTGCCATCCCTTTGCTAGTATCTCCGTAGTTGCTAATTTTGTTCCTCTTTTGTTCCTCGTAGACCACCTGCTTTTCCTCAGCACCTTTTTTTGTGTCCTTCTCCTCACTGAACTGCCCACGCTGTCTCAGTCCCTCCCTCTGACTTACTTTTCCCTAACATCAACAAGCCCAGCCCTTGTCTTGTTCCACTTCTCCACAACGCTGCTCCTTCTCCATTACTTCAAATTTCCTGATTTTTTGGGTGCACACTACATTTGATGCCTGCTACATCCCTTCTCACACCACAGTTGTGCTCCATCCAGTTGCCCAACACTTTTCCTCTTCTCAAACAGAAGTCAACCACCTCCACATCATCTCATCCAGACTTGCCTCCACCCGCCCTTCCCCAAGGCTGGGAGATGGGCTCGTCCCTCAGTCTTTGCCTGCTTTGCTTATCCCTTGCACGTGGCATTTATTCAACGCTGCACCTCCTGCTCGTGCTACCTGGGGCCTCCCCCCAGCCAGCACAGAGGTAGCCTGGCAGGGAATCATCCATATTTTATAAATTAATTTAGAAACGAGAAGATTAAAATACTTCATATTTTCATATTAATTTATATTATTACTAAAAAGGCTATACTAGAGCTATTTAGTCTACCACATCCATATCAAGGACTCAGTTTTGATCTGAGGGAACATGACAGCTTGAGCAAGGTTCTTTGTTCAGACACCACACAACATACCTTAGCAGTGCGCAGCACGCAGCTGTTACAACACTAATTGAAATATGTTTTTAAATGTATCGGGTTTCCGAACATTTGCAGAAGAATTATTTTTTTCCTCCGTGTGCAAAACCCAGTATTTCAGCAATTTAAAAGGAATGCCTAATCCCTACAATGCCTTAATAAGCCATAAAATAAAGCTGAAATAAGGTATGTTACACTGGGGAGGGGGATAAGTCTACAGTTGTAGGTGGATGGGGAGAACCTACAACTGTAGGTGAATGGGGAGAACCTACAACTGTAGGGGAATGGGGAGAACCTACAACTGTAGGCGGATGGGGAGAACCTACAACTGTAGGTGGATGGGGAGAACCTACAACTGTAGGTGGATGGAGAGAACCTACAACTGTAGGTGGATGGGGAGAACCTACAGCTGTAGGCGGATGGGGAGAACCTACAACTGTAGGGGAATGGGGAGAACCTACAGCTGTAGATGGATGGGGATAAGTCTACAACTGTAGGTAGTCCTGGCTGCTTTATCAGCTGTTTAGCTAACATACAGTAGGACCGTTGCCATGCAATCATGACATCAGTGGAGTAGAGATGGGTTGAAAGGGAGAAGATTTGAACATCCCACCCCATGGGTTTTACCCAGTCTCAACTGAGATGACCTGCGTCATCCGTGGGGGATGGAGCTAGGAGAGAGGTACCCAAGGCAGCTCCTGGGAGGGCTCACCAAACACTTGTATGTTGTCAGGTGGATGCGTGATGTAGATGCCACATTTTGCGGTGAAACTAAATGATAAATCTCTCTCAAATACCTAAAGGAAATGTTTGGGCATTTTTTTTTTTATTCTACCATCTGCAAAAAGAGGTTCCCACAGGAGCCTGCGCTCAATTTAGAGAGAGGAAATTATAACTACTCGGTTTGCAAAGTCTCCAAAACGGCTTTTCTGATAGAACAATAAAAAAAAAATAAATCTTAAGCATTTCTCAGCCTTCCTGGGCTAAAAGTCTTTGACTGAAAGGCTATGCATTTCCCATTTGCAGTGGTATAAAAGTCATAAGACATCAGATCATAAGCTGTCACTGGCCCTGGACTAAATACCACCCATCCTTTGCCTAAAGCGAGAGGGTCTTTTTTTCCTATGGGAGGGGGCCAAACAGAAATCCTACTCTTTGGAGGAAAGAAGGGAACATTTTTGTGACAGTTTGTTTTTATTTTTAAAAGGCAGTCCTTTTGAAGCTGCTTGGGGGTTTGGATGTTAGATGTAGTCCCAATGGAGATGGATTAGCGGCCAGAGCAGAGCGAAGCGGTCAAAGGTGCAAGATAAATGCAATTTATATATAATTGCCCAAGCTGCACCTGTTCCATTTTGAATAGGAGACCTTGTCTACAGAACGAATTTCACAAGCATAGAATATATCCTTTTTTTTTTCTTTATTTGAGTGTAAAATGGGGAATTCTAAACTTGTATCAGAGTAAAGCAAGAAAAAATAACCTTTAAATAGCGTGTAAATTTTTTATGAATCAAGCTCTAAATAAAGAAAACTCCTGAGCTGGGAATTCAAAATACTAGCCAGAGAGAGCTGATTTGCTACCAGGCTCAAGAACAATATTTAGTTTACAGAATCAATCTGGAAATAAAACTAGTGCTTGCATCAGCATGAAAGCTACAAAAATAAAAAAGAGGTCTTAATAAAATATACAGTGGAAAAAGAAAGGATGAAAGCCCTAGCACAGCTATGAGGCCCTCGACAGCCCACACAAGTAATAAAATAGAATATGATGTAATATAGAACAACAATGAAAGGATTTAAAATTTCTAGGTAGGATTCTGAAAACCTGTTTCCAGCTTCGGTTGCAGAGCAGGCACGCTGCAAATTTCCTTGTGAAGCTACGATAGAGCTGGTGTGTAGCACCCATGGGCGTCGACGGCGGCAGAACAAATGCTAACCTTCACCTCACTCCTGAATCAGCCCGAATGAAGCGTTGATGACAAAGCAGGGGGCTGGATTGCTATCCAGGAGCCAGGATATTTCTCTGTTTCCTAAATGCTCTGTTCTATTTGCTCTTCTGCTCCCTTACCCACCACTGTTTTCCCCCCTTATCTTCAACGCAATGATTTTTTTGTTCGCCAAATGGCACCAATGCTTTGCCATGAAGGCAACCATCTTCTCCACCTTTGGTAAGGAAAGCGTCTCGGACCTTGTGCTCAGTAGCTTGGAGAAATCTGAGATTAGATGCATGCCAGTGAAGCTGTATCGGCTCGACTGATTTCAGCCTGACCAAAGCTACGATGGGTTCACAAGACTCCACGGGAAAATAAGGCGAGTACTGAATCCCTGTGCTACCTGCCATGCTCTGCACCCCAGTTACAGTGCTGCATCCTCTGGTTTTAAGGAAATAAGATCTTGTAAAGTTCAAATTCTGAAATGGGCACAATTTCCCTTAAAATTAAACGGCATCCCGAGATTAACTTGGCAGAATTTGGTCCTGCAGCAAGCAGTGGCCTCTGCACTAAATTTCAGTTCAGCCAGAACCAACGCAATTCGCTCATTGCAGTAACACAGTAAATCTTCCTTCTCCACATGAAGCTAGAAGCTATTGCAAAATACCACTAATACTGCATAAATCAAAAATTATGGATTGTGCAATCTGGGCCCCTTTTTCTACTGTGCTCAAGCTGTGGCAGGCACAGCGTGCAGAGGTAATCACAGAGTTCCTTGATCTGCGGCCACGGGGTCCTACCAAAAGTTCTTGGGTTGACACAAAGAACCTGCCAAATTCCATCCTTCTTCTTGCCCTGGCAGGGGAACTCAGCTCCACCACCATACCTACGATGTTCCTGGTTTCTCCTTTGCAATACTCGGTGTAGCACATGATTAAGCCAGCTCGCGTCGTGTTACTTTTTACTCCAAGCAACTTCTCTGGAGTAAATTTTTAGGGGCTGGAAAACAGGAAAGTGGCCTCCGTCT